GGATGGATGGATGGGATGGGATGGGATGGATGGGATGGGATGGGATGGATGGGATGGGATGGGATGGGATGGGATGGGATGGGATGGGATGGGAACAGGGAGCCAGGAGAGGGGACAGAAACAGGTCATGGAATGAGTTGGGTGGGAAGGGACCTTAAAGCTCATCCCGTTCCAACCCTGACACCTCCCACTATCCCAGGGAATCCAACCCGGCCTTGGACACTCCCAGGGATCCAGGGGCAGCCACGGCTTCTCTGGGAATTCCAGCCCAGCCCCTCCCCACCCTCCCAGCCAGGAATCCCTTCCCAATCTCCCCTTTCCCAGTGGGATCCATTCCCTGTGTCCTGTCCCTGCATCCCTTGTCCCCAGGCCGTGGGCACAGCCAGGGATCCCTGTGAGATCCATGGCCACAGGACTTGGCTTATCCTGGGATTCCCAAGCCCTTGGACACCCCCGAGCCCTGTCCCCAAGTGCCACATCCACAGGGATTTAAATCCCTCCAAGGATGGCAACTCCATCCTGGGAAACCCTTTCCATGGAGGAATTATTCCCAATATCCCACCTGAGCCCCCCCTGGATGTGCCCAGGGCGCTCCCTGGTCCCGTGGGGCCACTCCAGGAGCCAAGAGGTCCCTCCCTGTCCGGAATTCCAGGGGACAATGGAGCCTTTGTCCGGCCCTTGGCTCTCCCAGTGGGAATGTTTGGTGGGTTTGGGGGGGATTTGGGGGATCCTGGATGGGTTTGGGGTGGATTTAAGGGGGTCTGGGTGGATTTGGAGTGGATTTAAGGGAGTCTGGGCTGGATTTGGGGTGGATTTAAGGGGGTCTGGGCTGGATTTTGGGGGGTCCTACGTGGGTTTGGGCTGGATTTAAGGGGGTCTGGGCTGGATTTGCGGGTTCCTGGGTGGGTTTGGGCTGGATTTGGGGGGGTCCAGGGCTGGATTTGGGGTGGATTTAAGGGGGTCTGGGCTGGATTTTGGGGGGTCCTACGTGGGTTTGGGGTGGATTTGGGGGGTCCAGGGCAGGATTTGGGGTGGATTTAAAGGGGTCTGGGCTGGATTTTGGGGGGTCCTACGTGGGTTTGGGGTGGATTTAAGGGGGTCTGGGCTGGATTTGCGGGTTCCTGGGTGGGTTTGGGCTGGATTTGGGGGGTCCAGGGCTGGATTTGGGGTGGATTTAAGGGGGTTTGGGCTGGATTTGGGGTGGATTTAAGAGGATCTGGGCTGGATTTTGGGGGGTCCTACGTGGGTTTGGGGTGGATTTAAGGGGGTCTGGGCTGGATTTGCGGGTTCCTGGGTGGGTTTGGGCTGGATTTGGGGGGGTCCAGGGCTGGATTTGGGGTGGATTTAAGGGGGTCTGGGCTGGATTTGGGGTGGATTTAAGGGGGTCTGGGCTGGATTTGGGGGGGTCCTGGGTGGGTTTGGGTTGGTTCGGAGATGTTGTTTCACCCCGAGTTTAATTCCTGCCCTTGTCCTGTTCCAACATCTCCAACAACGCCTTGGGCTCCCCGTGATCCTCCTGTTTGGGTGTTCCAGGATCCCCAGGAGCTCCTCCAAGGAATGTTGGGAATGTGACCTTTCCCAGGGCAAACACTGTCACTCCCTGTCCCTCCGCTTCCAGGGCTCCTGGGCAGGGCTGGGAACGGGAAAACCTGGAGGGAAAGATGGGACTGGGGAAGGGAAGGATCCAGGGAGAGCTTGGAGCTTGGGAATCTTTGGGGAATTTTTGGGGATTTTGGGGGAATTTTTGGGGATTATCAGGAATTTTTGGGATTTTTTCCTGAACTTTTTTTTTAATTTATTTTTTTTTATTTTTTGGGGGGTTTTTTTATTGTGACCTTTCAGGACCTTTTTGGGGAGCGGGAATAAAAGGGGGCTTGGGAATTTTTTTTGGAATTTTGGGGAATTTTTTTCGGATTTTTTTTAATTTTTGGGGGATTTTTTTTTTCTGAATTTTTTGGAAAAAATTTTTTTTTGGGGGGGTTGTGACTTTTCACAAAAATTTGGGTGAATTCGAGTGGATTCTGGGTAAATTTGGGACTGGGGACAAGGGCTGGAGGGACAGGACACAGGGAATGGATCCCACTGGGAAAGGGGAGATTGGGAAGGGATTCCTGGCTGGGAGGGTGGGGAGGGGCTGGGCTGGAATTCCCAGAGAAGCTGTGGCTGCCCCTGGATCCCTGGCAGTGTCCAAGGCCGGGTTGGATTCCCTGGAATAGTGGGAAGTGTCCCTATTCCAGGTGGACCCGGATGAGCTTTGCAGTCCCTTCCCACCCAAACCATTCCCAGAATCCACCCAAACACCCCCAGGGCTGTGGCATTCCCGGGATGAGGATCCCCTGGGATCAAAACATCCCCCTGTCCTAAGGATTCCATCACTCCTGGAGAGACTGGAATGGGATTTTTCTGGAATGTGGGGATGGCAAAGGCAGGAAAGGGGAAGG